GGGAGCGGGGAGGGAGGGGAAAAATGAGGACCTGATGCTGGGGGCTTAAGTGGAGAGCAAATGTTTTGAGAATGACGAGGGCAATGAATGTACAAATGTGCTTTACACAATTGATGTATATAGTGATTGTGATAAGAGTTGTATGAGCCCCTAATAAAACGATCGAAGGGGAAAAAAAGAAAATGTGCAGCTCGGACTATGTTTCTGGTGTTGTGCTTTCCTTGGGTAATGCAGTGTCACCCTTGTCTTCCAGTAGTTTCATATCATTGCCTTTGCAAATCCAACCGTGCCTCTTCAGAACTTGAACTGGAAAGCGAAGGGGTCCCCTGACGTACTGGATTACACACTGGGCTGCTAACCACCAGGTCAACAGTTTGAAACCACCCACCAGTCCTCAAGAGAAAGATGAGGCTTTCTGCTTTCACAATGAGTTCTAGTCTCAGAAACCCACAGGGGCAGTGCTGCCCTGTCTATGTGGGGTCACTAGTTTTCAGAACCGACTCAATGGCAGTGAGCTTGTTTGTTTAAGAAGGACAACACAAGGGTGGCACGTGGGGTGGCTGATCGTCCTAGTTTGACTGGGACTGAGGGGTTTCCAGGATCAGGGACTTTTCGGTTTTAAAAGCTGGACCAGCTCAGGCAAGCTAGGACAGTTGATCACCCTAATGGAAAAAGAGATGTCAGTCTCAAGGTGGTTTGGAGGCAAAGTCCCTAGAAGGCTCTTCCTCTGTTGCCCCTCCACCTGGAGTTTCCCCCATGACCCTGCTGACTTGTGGGGGGGTTTCTGTGACAAGGTCTGAGAAGTGAATGGGGCACAGGGAAGCTAAGAGAGGGGCAGCCTTCAAACTAATCACCAGCCCCAGCTGAGACAACTGCCAGTTGCCAGGAAAGAAGGTGAAATGCTTGACGAGCACTGACACTGTGGGGATTTTCCCTTTTTCTTCAAAAAAAAGAGAAAAACCAGAAAAGACCCAGTGGAAAAAAAATGATGAGTTGTGAGGCAGACGGCAGCCTTACACCGCCCCGGGAGGCGAGGCATCGCTCATTTGCTTAAGTTTGCAACTGACAGCTACCACCTCTCCAGAGGCACCAGGTGGAGAGAACCTCTCCACCTCAGACAGCGACCGAGTCTGGTGGCGCCCAGCGGCAGCCATGAACTACCCTCTGACCCTGGACGTGGACCTCCTGAACTACAGCCTGGAGGACATGGTGAGTAGAGGCAGGCACTCCTGCACATCAGGCCATGCTTGCCACTCTAAGTATCTGGCGCCCAGGGCCCCAAGGAGGGGGACGCCCTGGGAGCCCCATCCTCTGCGGGTCTGTAGAGTCTAGACAGGACTGTTGGCACCAGCCGGTCCGACGTCATTTTCCATTCCATGGAGGAAGCGTGGAGCTGTGGCAGGTGTGGCCGAGCCCGGGGTTCTGTGTTGGGTGAAGAAGCTGGGATTGGACTTCAAAGAGCTCTAAGTCCAGACACGAAAAGAAAGCCCTCTCTCCCTGGAAGCCACAGGAGGCTTCACACAGTTCGTGGGGGGAGAGTCCACCATCTTTCCATTCTGCTTCTCCGTCAACTGACTGAAGCCCTCTCGCGTGAAACAACAGTGACGGACTCCGTGGAGGACCTCTGAGGCCAGGGAGCAGCCACGGGAGAAGGACCCCAAGGGGCTGGAGCGGGGTGGGGGGCCAGGTGGGTGGAGAGCCTCGGACTTATGAAGCCTCAGAGCGTCCTAGAGCAATGTGCGCCCCTCCTCGAAGGGCTGGAATCCCTGGGGAGAAGATCTTCTTGGAGAGGTTTGCTCGGGTGGTCTGAAAAATGGTCTCCACCCCCCAGCCAAATTCCTCCAGGAAGGCATAGCAATTAAGTTGGCCTGGCTGTCACAGGCCTCCAAAGAATGTGGGTGAGAGTCCCTCTCAAAGGCCCTTGGGTCCAGGCAGTAGAGAACGAGTTATCAGGGTTTCTTAGGAACTTCAGACCCTTTCTCCCTTTCCCCCATGAACAAGAGCACTTCTGAGCAAGGCATCGCTCTTGGGCGTGATTCTGGGCCAGATCACGACGGATCTATTGTCCTCTCTCCAGTCCCCACTAGATCTCCTGGCCCTAAACTCCTCCTGAGAGGTTCTCTAACGCCCCTGGCTCCCGTGCTGGAGTCTCATATTGCAAAGCCGCCCACTACGTTCCCAGAACTGCTTAGGTAAGCCTGCCTTTCGCTTGCTGGGAAGTGGAAGTAGATCATAGGGAATGGAGAAGGATGGGTCACCTTCCCGACAAGCCCCTCCACTCCGACCCCCAGCTAAAGCAGACCCAGAACCATGAGTCTCCTCAGGCCTACCCAGTGAGTCTAATCTCCCTACTTAATGCAAACCCCAGAGCTTCCCTTATGTTGAAGTTATTAAGAAGGTTAAGACTCTGGTAGCAGAAAACTCACCTCCACGGGGCCCTTCTAAGCTGCCTACGCCCCGCAGCTGTGAAGTCAGCCCTGAGGCTAATAACAGAATCTGGGTAACGTCCCCAGCCAGACTGAAACCCCACTGCCCCCAACAAAGCAGGCTTCCAACCTGGCCCCCCAACTCTTGGCCCCTGGCCTCACCCAATTAGGTTACTGGGTGCCTTCCTGTGCCTGCAGCTTCACGCTGACCAGGAGCCCTGACCCAGTTGGATGTCACTGTAACCAGCTTGCGACCTAACTGGTCCGGGCTTCAAAGGAACTTCAAGGGCTTCCTCTAACTGCACATCTCGCTCCACTGCCTGACCTAGTGGGTGGCGGCCAGGGACAGGGAGCGGGGGACCGCAAGCAGGGCACGGCACGGCCCACACCACAAATAAAATCGACAGCCCAGGGAAGAGGCCTGGGGACTTGCTTCATGTCACACCTCAACTAGGTGGCCTCAAGCATGCCTGGACCCTCCAGCCAAGGTCTAGCCAGGAACCTGGGACTCCGGGGGCCAAAGGAGTTCTTCTTTAATCAGCTCCCAGTGCCGCCTCCTCCTGCCCTCTCTTTACATATCTCCTCTCTACACTCTCCCCGGGCCAGTGTCCCTCAGAAGTATGGGTGTTTTCCCTCCATCCCACCCACTCCCGGTGGGACCTCGACGGGCTTGTCAGCCTCCCCCCACAGTGCCTCACCGCACAGAGAGCCTGAGATGGTTCAGCTCGTGAATTGCAGAGTCGGCAGAGAAGCCTGGCACAAGGTAGCTTATGAGTAAATGCTTCTTGACTTGTGAAGAAAGCCTTAGCTCACCAACACTCTCAGGAGTGAGTCTTCCCGTCTTTCTGTTTCTACGTGTCCCCTCTGTCCCCTTGTCCAAACCCAGCACCAGCTCCTTTGCCTAGACCACGGGCACTACACTCAAGGCTGGGTGGCCACCTGGGCTCTTGGCCAGAAGTCGAGGGCTGGCTATGCTAGCACACATCTCTTGAATCTAAGATCCACTCTGGTTGCTTAAAATATCCATTTTCTTAACGAGGGCTGCTAAGCCCCGCCCACGGGGACTCCAGACACACAAAAAGGGCTTGCACTGGGGACTAGAAAGAGCCTGGACACTTCGGTGGGCATGCCAGGAACCCGTCCTGCCAGGACAGGTCTAGGCAGACCTAGTGAGCCCCCTTGGCAGGAACATTCAGTTAAGAGGGTAGAAGGTCTTCCCCACAGAACCTGGCGGGGGCACCTGCGGGAGCTGGTCACCATCTGCACCTCAAGACCCGCCCTGCGCACCAGCCAGGAAGGAGAGCTGAGTTTGGGCAGAGCCAAGGCCTGGCTGGCTGGTCTGGGCCTCAGGGCGCACTGGCTTTCCCAAGACCTCCCCCAAGGCAAGAGTACCATAAACCACGATGGGAGGGTGTCCAGAGCGGCACAGGTCTGCTCACATGCATCAAGGAGGTGTGAAAAGAGGAACCAAAACCCCCCTTCAGGCCGCTCTGGGTTTTACCTTGGCCGTGGGAGGATTCCCCCCTCCACCACCACCACCACCACTACCACTGCTAGGTCGAAAGTCCCAGACAAGTCCCAGAGGGTCCCCCCGCCTCTCCCCCAGCCCCATGGTTGTTTGGAGGGGTCCGAGATGAGTGAGAAGCCCAGCAGCAGCCTGGGGAGGAGGTCCCAGGGACAAAGACTGCAGTCCCCATGGCTGCTCCTGTCTCCTTGGAGGTGGGGACTGATCATGCCCCTCTGGCGGGATGACAGAAAAAAAACCATAGGTTTGGAACAAGGATGAGTATCCTCTCGAGGAACGATGGGATGGGATGTTGGCATCAGTATGATGCCAAGGCATTGACTTCAAGTGGTTGTGTCTGAGACTGGGTGACTCTGCCCCACCCCTGAAAGGCAAATTGGGGTGCCAGATGTGGAGCCCTTGAAGCCTGAAGATTCAGTGCAGATCCCCCCAGAATCACAGCCTATTGCCCAGAACCCCAAGGAGGGACAGAAGAGAAGTCGGGAAGGCTGACCCCTAAAGGGGAGGGTAGTAGAGGGCAGAAGAAGTGGTTAATGGTAAATGAGAGTCTCAGACTGTCTGTAGGATGAGTCTTCCCTCCCACACCCCCGCCTCCCGCCGCAGACATACAGATCCACACCCTTCACCTTGGCCCAGGCTCATACTTAAAGCCCCTGGGAACTGGGATGAAGGATGCCCTGTCCTGCTTCACTCTCTTCTCCGGCCTTTTGGCTCAGAACATCCCCACAGGGACATAAAAGGAGAGGAGCCTGCTGGCCCTTCCAGTCCCAGAATTATGGCCTGCGCGTGCGCGCG